AAAAAAAAAAAAAAAAAAAAAAACCAATGTTGTTTATATATATGTATATGTATATATATTGCCATGTCAGCAGACAAAGCACGAAATTGTCATGTCAACAATAAATCGCCATGTCAGCAACCATGTTAACTAAAAATTGACATGTCAGCGGCCATGTCAACAGACAAACCGAAAATGGGCCCTGTGATTTGTTTTTTCGCCATGTCGACTTGCTTAATGTCAGTCAAGGTCTTGATGTGAGAGTTTCCTAAAATACGTGCACGATGCGTGATAATATTGATTTGTGATTTGTGTGTGCTAGTAAATTTACAATCCCGTGACAATTGTTACTCGATTGATATCTGATCAGACAGTTATCAAGCTTAGATTTGACGCCAAAGACTTGGTCATATTAATCATTGGGAAAAAATCTTTTTCACCCCAATACAAAGACATATTAAGTTTTTCACACCGCCCAATAAAAAGTTAAGTTTTTCACCCTAGAAAACTGTCGCATATTCATCGCATAACTGTCCATATGCGAAGGTTATGCGAAAAACTATCGCATAATTGTAGCATATCAATTGCATAACTGTCGCATATTCATCGCACAATGCCTTCGCACTTTAACTTTTTTTCACCCCAAAAAGTGCGAAGGGATATGCGAATGTCTTTGCACTTTTAACTTTCGCACAATGTCATCGCACAATTGTCGCATATTCATCGCACAATGCTTTCGCACTTTTTGGGGTGAAAAACTTAGTTTTTTATTGGACGGTGTGAAAAACTTAACAAGACTTCAAAACGGGATGAAAATAGATATTTTCACTTACTCATTCTCATTTGATTAACTTTTCTAATGCAAAATTGATTAAAGAAAACAACTACAAGAAATAAACGACAAATAAAACGCACTAATGAAAGGATTCAATTTTTTTTTTTATTTAAAAAAAAAAGGGAGAGAGAATTTCCAAGGAACATTTATACTGAAGATTAAAATGAATTTGTAAAGCTTTGGCATTATACAATCTGAAGTTGCTGAATACTGAGCATCTGTATCACAACTTCTCTGAAACAATTCCCATGCATGAATGCTTCTCTTTGCAGTGTTTTTCTAATAGAAGAACTAATCAAACTTCCTAACATCACCCTTGTGCAAAATTCTTTTCTTCTTTCGTCTCGAGATTCTCCTTCCTTTGAGCCCTCAATCTCTCCTTCAACCTTTTGCTCTCTTCGAAATTTGCCTTCCGCTTAACAGCTTTCTGCAGCAGGAAGGAGTCTTGATTAATCATAACTTTCGCTGGAAAATTTTGATTAGAAAAACCTACGATTCAAAAGTATTCAAACTTACTTCTTCACGGAAACACCTATCGAGCTTAATTTTTAAATCCGTGCATTGACCAAAAAATTTTCCAAGAGGATGATCAATATGGCACTGCTGGAACTCTTTAATAATCTGTGTGTACAAATAAGGTCAAAAAAGTTCGAACAATCAAAAGCGTACGACACTTGGCCAATTGAGAAACCTTACTTGCATAAAAATTAAACATGATCCAACCAGCACCAATTTTTCAATAAATTAATTCAGTTTTGACTTGCAACGCTTTTATCGGAAACAACGTCAAGTTCTGCAGATGACCACCAGTTGGAATTTCAAATACGAGGAAGACGACTCTTTTTTCCTTTCTCCTAATTACGAGTTAATTCTAGAACTGGAACCACTTGTGAGAAAAAAATACATGTCTGGAGAAGGTTAAAAAACAACAATTATATATTTTATTCCGCAAAGTAACAAAACGAACCACATCTGCCGGAATCAAACCAACTAGTAAAGAAATATTACGGCCTCATAAGGCCAGGCTATAAACCCTCAATTTGGAAACAGAAGAATAAGTTCAGAAATCAAGGTTAACAAATAGAACAATGAAAAATATTCACTTTGTAAATTAAGAGACATAAAAGCAGCAGAAGAACAAGAAAATTCATCGAGAAAAGACATGTTTAAGATGTAAGTTTCTTCTTTTGAAGGTCAGATAATACATGCACAATACACCCACAGGCAAGCACAAATATACATATCTATGTGTGAGAAGCTTACTTCAGCACACATAGGGTGCCTGTGAATCGTTAAGGGGGGGTGCATTCTGTTCCCTTCTATTTGGTAGCTGCTCCAAAAGACCTGAAAAAGTGCAGGGAAGTTAAGAATCAGATAAAAGTGCACATTCTTCAAAAATTACAAATAAGCAGCTCATCCCGCTCAGATTGTTACACTTTTCCTCCATTCCCGGACATTCCAAAAGAACGTTTTACTTTTTTATTAGCAACACAACAAATTGCAGAGGAGATAGTATGGGTTCAAAACTTCTCCATTTTATCTGTGTGATGAAAAGCGAGTGGCATACACCAGCCAAAGCCCCAGTAAAGCATTTTTATCTGTGTGAAGAAAAGAGAGTGGCATACACCAGCCAAAAGCCCCAGTAAAGGTGATCGATGAACATAAGGGCGTTATGCGTCGATTTGAGATAAGAACAGCCACATTGATCCCTCCATTACGATATATTTGGAGCTCCAAATGCAACAAGAGAACCTCTTAATTCAGTTCACATTGATACTTGTCAATTTTTATTTTTTTAATAATCGGGCATCAAGGGTGCGGTCCCACACAGTGAAGCACACCATAAGAGGGTGAGCCTAGTTACACCTTAGTGAGGTTCCATCCCAAAACCAATTGGTGATGGAAAGAGTAGCCCATTAGGCTTATAAACTATACGCATTTACCCTATCAAATCAATATGGGACGACTCACGAGTGATATTCCAACAATACTCGTTAATCTTTATTTCACCTATAAATCGCTCACATAGAGATAACCAAAAGGGGGAAATCACACATATTACAGTTCTCAAGCACCGAGTCTGGAGTTAATATTCTTTCATTTGCACTCCATTGATGGCTACTTTCAGAATCACCAACCAAAACCCAAACAAGAAAGGACGACGAAGAAGAAGAGAAGGAAAATTCAAAACAAACTTAAAAAAATTAAAGGAAAAGAAGATCGAAAAATCACCGGAGAGAATTGCAGAAGTGCGCCCCTGAGTTCAGCTGTTTTCCTTCTTCGACTTCACCGACTGAATGATACGCATCTGCAAACTGCAAAGAACCAAGGCTTTGAAACTGGGTAATCCACCCGGACTGGCGTCCGGATCACGGGTCACCGGTTCATCCAATCACGGTTTGCTGAAATTGATAATTAATTTTAAAATTTTAAAACATCACATATATATATACTATTATTAATTCATAAATATACACAAATTTTTTTAAAAAAAAAAAATGTATGTATAGTTTATACCAAAGTTTTTGAAAACCGAACCGGTCATCAAATCGGTGAAGTTATCGGTTCAATAGTTCAATGTATGTATAGTTTATACCAAAGTTCTGAAAACCAAATCGGTCATCAAACCGATGAATATCGGTTCAATTGTTCACTGGTGTGGCCAGTGGTCGAACCGATTTAGTTAATATATAATTTTATTTATTTTATATGTATAATAATAATTGTATATATTTTTATCATTGATTTAGTAGTGTATAATAAAAATTTTCTAAACAAATAAAGGAAAAAATAAATAAAGAATCATAGCTTAATTATTTTACCATGATATTATAATATTAGTAAGTAATATTGTTTTCATTAAAATTAATGTAATTATAGTGGAAGAGAAATCCCACACTACAACTCTGTTTTTCTTATGGGAAACAACATATGTGTCCAGCTTGCCACTGTCCTTCAGTAAACATACACTATTTAACTTTTACAATGCAACACCTCGAAACTATTGACAATTACAGAGTCGGTCCTAGCATTTTTTAGGCCTTGGGCCAAATCTATATATATATTAAAGCAAAGCAGCTCAAAATTTCCCCCAAAAAACTACATTTAATACATTGTAATAACTTTTATCAATTTCTATACATGATTTATCAACAAAAAATATTTATGTCATAAAAACAATTAATTTATATTTTAAATGTATTGGAATTTGCATTCCAATTTTTCTTGACTAAATAAATTCTTTAACTACATCTATTACCATGAAATAAATTTTGTTAATTTCTATGTATTATTTATCATTCAAACAATAACATAAATACTACTACCTCCTATTTTTAATATATGTCGTTTTGAGAAGTTGCACGTTAATTAAGAATATTTTTTTCATCAATAATAACCTTATTTAATGAAGATAGATATAAACGTTTTGAGAAAAAGTGAAAGTGAATATGAAAAGACGTAATGTATTTATTAGCTAAATGAGGATAATAATGGAAAAATATGTAGAAAATATCCAAAACGACATTTATTTGACAAATAGTTGATAAAACTAGAATGACATTTAAAAAGAATATGAGGGAGTATGTGTTACAAGTAAATACTTATCTTAGTCATAATCAATTATTATACAAATCCCAATTATATATATTTTTTTATAATCAATTATTGTTACAAATAATGTTTAATATTATACATAATTATTTATTATGGATTCCCATCTCAATATCTCACTTATTATTTGTCTCACTTACAGTTTGTGAGTATGAATTCCTTTCCTTTTATAATATTTTTTATAATAATAAATTATCAATCTTATTTAATTAATCACTAAAATAAAATTTCAAGTCAAATATTTTATTTAGTTATTATTTTTATTGGAACATCAAACACAATATTATGTTTTCGGTTACTAATATGATATCTATATGTAACATATGTTTTCATAAAAATATTTAATAGTAGCACCATACCACATTTGAAACATATACTCTATATTGATGGAATTTACATACACATTAAGAAAATATGTAATCATCTCTTATTAATCTAATATTGTATAATTTTATATCTGTATATAATTCTAAGAAATTACAAGTGATCATTAATTTATTTGTATTGAGTACATCATTCCAAAACAAGTAATTTAAATTGTAAAATATCTAATCATTCACAAAATCTTATGTGAGCTGAAGTAAGAGGTAGTGAAGACAACGTGTCATTCTTTTTTAACAAAAATGTGAACTTAGACCTCCAATTTTCACACTTTGTTTATTTTATTTTATTATATATTTTTTAAATAATAAATAAAATAAAAATAGAGTGAAATAAAAAATAATGATGTTATATTTAAAAGGGATGTATTTTTCAAGAAAAAATATCATATCCATATGAAATAGATTTAAAAAATGTTGAATAACCTTAACTTGAGTAAAAAAAAATAGAAAATGGTAACATAAAGAGTGAGGGGTCTCAACAACAACAAGAGAGTTAAAATAAGTATTTATATAGTTTTGACTCAGAAGACAAAAATGATCATATTGATTGAATATATATGATAACCTTTTGTTTTATTTATTTCATTTGACCTTAAATTTGATGTTACATAAAAGTTGGTGAAAAGTGACAACGCTTAATTTTTATAATAAATACACAATTCTACAGCTTAATTTTTATAATAAATACACAATTATACAGCTAAAAAATTTATAATAAAAGTAGCATAATGTGTCAATTATTGTTTAACTTTTGTTTATAAACAAATCTTTTTTTTTTTTAAATGAGAGATTGATGAGAGTATATTATCGCAACTTAATGTTGTAGTGATAAAGTTAAATACAACTTATTATAATGAATCCACTCCTTTTTCCTTATCATATATCAAAATGTTAATTTCGCAATAATATGTTTTTAATATATTTTATATAGTATAATTTAAATTTACTTTTCGTATTACTTTACAAAAAAGTTTGTCAATTTTTATTTCTAAAAATTACATTGAATTGTCGTTTTCACCGATTTCCTGGAAAAATAAGTACTTTAATATATTACAGTTCTCATTAATTTCATGCAATAATAAAAATAATAATAATAATAAGTATTTTAATAAATATACAATTTTACATCAAAAATATTATAAATAGAAATAGCATAATGGGCAATTATCCTAATTTTTGTCCATATCAAAAATGTTTTTTTTTTCCATAAGAGAATGATGAGATCATAATATTACAATTGAACGTTGTAGTAGATAAAGTTAACCACAAATTTATTATAATACATCAACTACTTTTTCATTATCATGTATCATAATGTTAATTTTATTTTATCTCTTTTAGATTTTATATAATATTTTCAATGTTTTTTTTATTACATTACAAAATTTTCCAAAGTGTTTTACTATAATATATTGAATTATTATTTTCAATGGTTTTATGCACAAATATGTATTAAATATTACATTGAATTATAATTCTCATGAATTTCATGCAAAAAAATAAATATTTTAATATTGAGTTAATGAGTCTATTTATGACTTTATGAAAAATGATCAATCTTTCACGTCATTCTATAATCACCATCGCACTTAATTTGTGAAAAAACGAAGTTGAGATTTATTTTGTTAATAAAAAAGAAAAAAATATGTAGACTTAATTTAAAATTAAATACATGCAGATAGAAGTTATTTTAATTTTTATTAGGTATTTAATTTGTATTTATATATTTTAATTTTTCATCTTCTTACATGTTAACATTAATATTCAATATTAGTTTATTTGTACAATAGTAATCATGACTTTATTTTCTTTTTTGAACTATGAAAATTATGTTATAACATATACATTTTTATGAAAAATTTTGAAGAGTCATTAATGTGACCAATATTTTTTTTTCATGGTATATCACATTTTTGTAAGCTTAAAAATTTAATTTTAAATTTTTTCAAAACAAATTATATTGGTTTTTTTTTTTGTTAATTGTTATTGTTTCTGGAGTCACAATCCATGTTGCCTAATTATTGTTATTACTATTGGTGATACACAGTTCACTTTCTATTGATGTTGTATTTGTGAAAGTATTTTTAAATGGATTAATAAAAAATTTATTCTACATTATCTCAATAAATTTTTTTAAAAATAATTTTTTATTAAATTTTCATTTATTCACACTATTTTTAATATTAGGCCGCGCAACGCGCGGGTAACGTACTAGTGTAAGGATAATGCCCTGGGCTAAAGAACGCACAGACGGTTATAATATGGCATTTGTACGATACAGCTGCTAATTAATTTTATGCGTTGTAGGTTTAT